TCCCCCAGAGAGGGAGCAGATGACCAAGCATGAAGCATCCAGGGATGCAGCAAGAGCAGGGATATTTGTCTCCTGTGAAGGGTCAAGGGCAGGTGAGGAGCAGGGATGCAGGGTGGCACGGGGTGGCTTTTTTGACTTACTTGGTTAGGGTTATCATTACCACTGAAGCTGGAGAGTAAGAGGAGGAGCGATAAACTCAAGTGCCTATGGACAATAGCAGCAGTTGGAAATGCAGCTTCATTGCAAATGGCATTTGGTGTCACTCATGTAGATGATGCTACTGTCCTCTTATAGCTTCATTTTCTGCTGCATTGCCATTTGGAGCCTGGGTTTGGAAGGGAATGCCCGACTCTGGTGTTCTGCCATAGCATCTTTCCTCCTTTCACCCCCATCCTGACCTGGCCAGTCTGCTTTGTTGTCATAATCCCGGGCTGGCTGCAGCATGGAGCTTCCCAGCTGCTCAATGCGATGCTGGAAATCATCGGATTAGGTCTTAATGGCAGGATCAAGGCGCTGGGAGATGAGTGGGGAGGAAACTCCTGCTCACACAGGTGGGCAGACAGCACTTCCTATTAAAGCAAGCGAGAAAGGGCAGAAAAGCAGCTTCTTCCTAGGCTTTTCCCTATGTTTACCACATCTTTCATTTCCCAAGGCTTTCCAAATGCTGGTCTGTTGTTTGTGAAGGTGGTATTGAGAGGTCAAGAGGTGTTTGAATCTCCTTGCAGTGGAAAATGTCTTGAGTGGTGGAATTGCTGGTCAAATGTTAATCCTTAATGTGAAAGTTTGCTACCCACATTAGAAATCTGGGCATTCCATAGCACATTGTGGTGTGGTGAAGGACACTGGTGTTTTGTGGTCATCTTTCTGGTGGTGGGGCTTCTAAACACCAAAGAGCTTGAGGAGCATGCTGTGGTTGTGTCTCAGGGTGGCATTGCCAATGAGCAACAACAAGATGCTCCAGGGTAGGGTCTCAGGGCACAGCATCCCCATACAGACCCTTTTCACCAGCACACATTGGTGAAGGCTCTTGTCCAACAGGCTCTTGAGGTGATGGAGTTTATCAGCCTGCACCACATAAACCCTACCTTGTGTGTCTGTCTTCTGGCAGTGTTCAAGGCCAGGTTGGAGGGGGCTTGGAGCAACCTGCTCTAGTGGAAGGTGTCCCTGCCCGTGGGACCTGGATGGGCTTTAAGGTCCTTTCCAACCCATACCATTGGATGATGCTATCTGGGTGTCTGCAGAGGAGGTGCAGACAGCATTTGCTGGAGCTGCACTGCAGGACTTGCTCGTGCATGGCTAATGTGCCCATGGAGCTCACATGGGTGCATGGGAGGGGGAAGAGAGGAGGACTTAGCTTCAGCAAGCTCCTGCAGGGACACCAGCCCATACGGAGGGAGCCACAGGGATCCCATCATCTGCTTTTCCAGCTCCTATTCTAAACCAGGTTGGAGAGCAATGGCTCCAGCTTCCAAAACTTTGGAAACAAGAACAATCAGAGTATGTTTACATGTGTTTATGTGTGGGAATGAGGAGTCTTTCTGCTATTTGAGCTTTGATTTTTCTTTCTTCTCCTCGGTCACTGGTGCCTGAGCTGTTTTTCAGACATAGGGAATTTGTGGTACAGTAAGGAAATTTATAGGATAACAGCCTAGTTTGTATTGGGAGGGAACTTAAGATCATCCAGTTCCAACCCCTGCCACGGGCAGGGACACCTTCCACTAGAGCAGGTTGCTCCAAGCCCCTGTGTCCAACCTGGCCTTCAATACTGCCAGGGATGGGGCAGCCACAGCTTCTCTGGGCACCCTGTGCCAGCGCCTCAGCACCCTCACAGGGAAGAACTTCTGCCTTATCTCCAACCTGAGCTTCCCCTGTTCAATCTGAACCCATCACACCTTGTCCTGTCGCTGCAGCCCCTGATGAACAGTCCAGAATTTCCAAGAATTCCATATATTTCATTTCAAAGCCAAGGGAGAAGGCAGAAATTGATTGCTCTGGGCAGTTACCATGCCTCCTCTGATCACTCTCCTGAAAAGGCAGCTACATACAAAAGGCCTGTTTATTCTGCTGCAGGATCATGGTTTGGACAGGCATTGTCTGCCTTTCTTGGGACAGATCATGTGGAGTGCCCTTGCTGTGGTGCAAAGACATTTGGCTGCTCCCTGTGATGGGAAGATGCTGCCTCGGGTATTCTCCTGTGGTTGCCCAGGCATGATGCTTGGCAGAGCTTGGCTTGGCTTATGTCCTCAACATAAGCAGGACATGGAGCTGTTGGAGCAAGTCCAGAGGGGGCCACAAGGGTGCTCAGGGGCTGGAGCACCTCCTGTATGAAGCCAGGCTGAGAACACTGGGGCTGTTCAGCCTGGAGAAGAGAAGGCTTCAGGGAGACCTCAGAGCAGCTTCCAGTGTTTGAAGGGGGCTACAAGTATGCAGAGGGACTCTTCATCAGGGACTGGAGCAATAGGATTTTGGGGCTGAATTTGACACTTCTAATGCTGCCTCTTTGCTCTCTGTGGGACTGCGCCTGCTTTGCACTGTGTTGGAGTTGAGCTCTGGATCTACTCTGTCCATCCAACTGGATGTAATGGTGTCCTCAGGGCTTTCACGTAGATGGACAAACAAGCCATTTCAGAGCTGCTGCGAGCTAGGCGGAACACAGCGGTGAAGAGGAAGGGTCCAAGATGGGTCTCTGCAGGCAGCAAATGCTCTGAAATGCTTAAAATGCTGTTTGGGGGAAATCATTTTTCCCCAGCCCTTTGTCTGTGAAGAATGAGGGCTGCAAGGGGGGGCTTGCACCCAGGGTAAATGGCTCTATTGTTCCCATCCTTTCCATTGAGCTTATGAGCCCCCCTATAAAAGACTTACCTTTTGCTAGTGCAAGTAAGAAAAGGCCAATGTCGCTTTGGTGCTCAGCGGAGCATGAAGCGTGCTTAATTTAATAACACTGATAAATCTCAGAGCCAGGAGCATTTGGAGCTAACACATGACCCACTTTTCCAATCAATCGGAAAAATTTACATAACAGCCTGATGCAGGGTCCCTCCTGTGAGGGATGTGGAGCAAAGGGATGGCAAAAGGGATCATGGTAAGAGACCCCTTCCATAAGTGCTGCCACCACAACTGGTCCTCTGCAGGCAAGTCGTGACCCACCTCACTGGGACTGCAGTGATGTGCCTGGGTTTAGAGCATCCTGCTGAGCTTTGGAGTCCATCACCCCAATGGCAAAGCTCACACAGCTCCAGGGTGCCCCAGCTATGGGGCTGACACCCTGGGCTGTAGCTGCTTGCAAAAGCAAGCCCTTTGGATGGTTTGTGGGGCAGGATGGCTTTGTGAATGCTGCATCTGCAAGCCACTGGCTGTGGCCATCAGCTGTGAACAGGCTCTTGCCTTCCTCTGGCTATGCTGTCAGAAGATGCTATCAGCTGGAGATGGGAGCTTCACTCTGTATTGGGGTGCACGGGTGGTGTCATGGCTTCATCTCTTTCCCTGCATCAAGGTCAGGTTGTTCCTGGGGCATCCCTGGGGATGGTTTTCCTCCCCATGCGGCATGGGCACCTCTGTGGGGCAGGCACTTGTCTCCAGGCACATCAGGAGCAGTAGCAGCAGTGACCTCCTCCATACATCAGCTTGTTCTGTGTTGCCTCCCATGCACAGGAATCAGCCTGGGGTGGCCCAACACAATTACTCCTTTTCCTTTACCATTCACCTGCGATAGGGTGTCTTGAATGAGGAGCTTCCTGATCTCACACCTTGTCCCATCACTTCTCAGCCCATTCCCATTCCTCTGATCCCCAGTGTTGTCACTTCCCTCCTCCTTTTCTCTACTCTTAACAGTGCCTTTTGGCTTGACACCTCCAATACATTTAATTTCTTACCTTTCTTGTTTCATTTGTAACATCCAGTGGCCTCAAGATTGGTGTTTGCAAGTGAGCTGGGCTCCTGTTGGCCCCGTGGGAAAAAAAGATGTAATTGTTAACAATTCCCATTCCATGTCTCCCAAAGGATAGAGGTGATGGCCATGCTGAGAACGCATACCAGACCAGTTTAATGATCAGTAATTCTATTGTATTACAAGCCATTATCACAGAGTACAATGAAAGGTGAACCTTAGCCCAAACCCAACTAATCATGCAGGGTTTGATCCATTTTGGGTTTCATAATAACCTCTTGAAAGACTTTTTACATCAAAGCCGTCTCCCATCCATGATTGGTGCATGTTTATTCATCTCAACTGCCTCTGCGTCAAAGGAATGCTTGAGAACTAGCTTTTTGATCACCTAAGTTCCCATCTGAGGAAAGGAAAATGCCAGGTATTTGTGACCAGGTTCAGAAATCCCCATCTGCTATATACTGAGGCATTAAATAACATGGGGGAGTAACTAACATTGCTGTATACATCTTGGCATTGCATACAGAAGGATGCTGGCACCTTCGTTTGGGACAGGATCAGCCTCTCCATTCTGCAGAGACATCCCATATGAGGGCTCCTTGTGCAGTGATACTACTAAGGAAGTGTCGGGGAAAAAAGAAGGAAGGATTTATTGCTGTTCCTGTGATTTTCCAGCCCTGATTTCAAACCATCAGTGGATTTTTTCCCTCTAGAGGGCAGAGGAGGAAAGAGAAAGAGAGGGAAAGGGACATGAACAGAGATTTTGTTAGATATGTGCAGGGCAGGAATGGCTGGAAATGGCGTGGTCCTGAGATGCAGCGCTCAATTACAGTGCTCAGCAGTCAGGGTGCAAATGCATGTGTGTAGAAACCTATTCTTCCTGAGGTCAGATAGATATTTCCAAGTGGCTTTTGGTCTTCTGAGTGCCTGTTCACACTTCAGATGGTGCGATAGGTGCTCTGGGTCTCTTAAAGCCCAATATCTGCTCCCAGTAGGGTGCTCAGTCCATGACATCTCCCTGCAGCTCCTCCAGCCACTGCATTCCCATGTTCTGCATGGTCCATCCAACATCCCTACTGTGTTGATAGGAAACATCTCCCTTTCCCATCCCCAGGTGATAGAGCCTTGGTGCTGCTTCCTCCTGCATCAGGGAGCCCTCCCAGCTACTGCACAGCTCCTGTTCCCAGTAAGAAATGGAGTCCAAGGTCTCCGAAGGTGGCCTAAATGTCACCCTCACCATCCGGCTGCTGATGCATGGCAAGGTAAGGGGGTTTCCTCACAGCTCCCTCTCCCACATGGTGCTCATGGCTCCTAATCATAGAATCCCAGCCTGGTTTGGGTTGGAAGGGACCTGCCACAGGCAGGGACACCTTCCACTAGAGCAGGTTGCTCCAAGCCCCATCCAACCTGGCCTTGAACACTGCCAGGGATGGGGCATTCTTGCCCCCCTTGCCCTGTATTGCTGGGTACAAGGTGCCTCAGGTCTTTGCTTCATTATGGAGTTGGGCTGGATTGTCTTTGCGGTTTGTGATGTTGACGCCTTTGTGTTTGGTTTTTCCTTTTCTTTAGGAAGTTGGCAGCATCATTGGAAAGGTAAGGCTGGCTTTTGAATGTGGATTTCATTCTATTGCCTGCACCTTTTCCTACGTGCGGTGTCATAGATATCGGTCACGTCTTCCCTGTGATGCCCTTAAGTGTTTTGTGTGCATGAGCTTAATGATGACAGACCCACAGAGGAATCAAAGACTATCCCCCTAAAATAACCCAACCCAAACCCAACCTAGTGCCATTCCCAACTGTTTCCCTGGGGTCGTAAGTAGGTGTTTATGATCATTTTGCCTGGAATTTTACTTAAAGAGCTTCGTTAAGACTAAAAATGTCATGCAGGCCCATTGAAGTTCTGCAGTGCTTGTCTCTGCATTTAATTGGGCAGAAGAGCTCCACATGGTGCTTTGCACAGTAGTTTGGAAAGTCCTGGCTATCCAAGATTGAGGGGTTTGGTGTACTGAAAGGGCAGATTTATAATGGAAGAGGTTTGCAGCGTGAGCACCTTTCCCCTATATGCTTATGCCTTATTTTTCCATTAGTTTGTCCAGCCCTGGAAGGATTCACAGATTTACTTGCTTTATATCTGGAAATAAAGACATTAGATCTCTCTTTCGGATACTGGATCAGAAACCTGAAGTCACAGGGATCAGGGCCACAATGGCTTCAGCTGACCATCCCATGGGAATGGAGGGTCGGGCACACAAAGGTGCCTAAATGCTTGGCTTTGTGTTGCCACCTGTCAGAGAGATGTGTGTTTGGAAGGGTTGTTTTGAAGGTGGAAGTCTTGGTAGTAATAGCCTGTGCTTCTGCTTCTTGTTTCAGAAAGGAGAGACTGTGAAGAAAATGCGTGAGGAGGTGAGCAACCTGCTCTGTACCATGATTTGGAGGAGAAGGAGACCATTGGGGTCTCCTGGCCAGAGCTGCACACTGCAGTAACTCCCAGGGTCAGCCAGATCCAGTTTTCTCACTCTGGCCTCAAATCCCTATTGTATTTCATGGGAATTCTCCAGAGCCAAGAATTGCTCTTAAATGAGCATTGAAATCAAGTCACTTCTCAGATGCTTGAGGTTGTTGAAGGTCTTTATGCCTGCAGCCACCAAGTAGTTAACATCAGATGAGCAAGCAATGCTCTGCTTCTCACAAGCAATGACCCCGTGAGCTGGTCTTGCCTTGATCCATAGGGGTTTGCATTGTATTAAAAGACCCAAAGCAGGTGCTTTTTGGAGGTGAAAGCATCACAGAGGGCAGGAGTAGTGACCAGAGGCCAGTCTGTAGTTATGCCAAGGGCTTCTCTTTTCTTTCCAGAGCGGGGCAAGGATCAACATCTCGGAGGGGAATTGCCCTGAGCGAATTGTGACCATCACTGGCCCCACCGATGCCATCTTCAAGGCTTTCGCCATGATTGCCTACAAATTTGAAGAGGTGAGAAACACCAGCCATTTGCCCTAAAAGGGCAGAGTAAAAGGGTCTGCATCCAGACCCATGGGTAGCTCTGGCATTGCCCATTGCTGGGGACTGCAATGCAGATAGGTTTGCAGATAGCAACCCATGCGTGCCAGTCTGGACTTGCTTAGCTGGCATAAAACCTTCCAGACATCTCTAACTAGGCAAGAACTGAGCTTCAGTGAACTCACAGAGGTCTCACAGTGAATTAACTGCAGGGATGCTGTCGTGGTTTAAACCCAGTCAGGTAATTCGTTCGCTCACTTCCCCCCCTTTCTTGCCCTCCCCCTGCTCTCGGAGGGATGGAGAGGAGAATCGAAAAGAATGCAACTCCCACGGGTTGAGATAAGAACAGTTTAGTAACTAAGGTATAACACAGATCACTACTGCTACCACCAATGATAATAATGATAAAGGAAATAACAAGGGAAGAGAATACAACACCTCAGCACCAGCTGACCGATAACTCGGCCCCCAAGCCCGACCAAGCTCCGACCGATACCTCCTCCAACCCTGCAGTCTCCCAGCCCTTCCGGCTCACTCCCAGTTCCATCCTGGGCATGACGTGCTGTGGTATGGAATACCTCTTTGGTCAGTTTGGGTCAGGTGTCCTGTCTCTGCTTCCTCCCAGCTTCCCCTCCTCCCTGGCAGAGCATGAGGCTCACAAAGTCCTTGGCCAAACCAAAACATCTCTATCAGCTCTGTTCCCGAGCCGAAAGTCAAAACACTGCACTGCACAAGCTACCAAGGAGGAGAAACATGACTGCTACTGCTGAACCCAGGACATTATCCACCCCTTATTCCATACCATTCACGTCATGCTCAGATCCCACATTTTCAATATACCATCACTCTTATCTCGGTGCACTCTTATCTTAGTGCATGGACCAGTCCCTATAAAGCTGCTGCTTCCATCTGGTCCATGTCAGGCTCCATCTCTTGTAACAGTCTTCCAGAGCAGGAGAGACTGTGTGCAGTGTTCACACTCGTGAATAACCTGGGCAATAGTGTCCATTGTTAAGTCCACCCCTCGATCATGAGTCCATCTCTGTGTTGCATCTCTGCTCTGGTGGCGTGAAGTGCCATGGGCCCACCAGGCTTAAAATAATTCACTGTCCCCTTAAGCAGTTTCTGCAGCTTGTTGCTGGGGACTCCATACAGCTGCCTTCCATCTCCGACGCTTCCAAAGCACTGGAGGGGCCCAGTGGACTAGATACTTGCCCATACTGTCACACACACCCTGCCACTCATGACTCTCCAGCCTTGGGGAAAATCTCTTGGTCCCCCTATACTGTTGTCTAACCCCAGACAAGACCCAAACCTGACTCTGCTTAACTTTTGAGATCAGACAAAACGGTTGCGGGTAAAACACAGTCTGTGTGTGTGCCAACATGCTGATCCCCATCACAATCAGCAGGCAGGTCCCAAGGATACCCAAAGGCCATTCAGAGCCTTCAGAACTCTCAAACGATGCTGCTGTACTTGTCACTGGGGCTGGTGTAGCTGCTGTGCTTGCCGGCTCTCCCACCACCAGCTTCTCTTTTCCCGAGTCCAGCTTTTCCTCCTCTGCCTCGCTGGGAAATGCTGCGTGGTCTCCTGCGTCCTCCTGGGGCTCGGCAGGCGGCTTCCGGGAAATGCTCTCGGCCGTCGCGGGGCTCGGCTCCTCCGCGGGGCTCGGCTCCTCCGCGGGGCTCGGCTCCTCCGCCGCCTTCTCCCGCTGCTCGGCAGCCGCTTCCTTCCTCTCCTCGACCGCCCCGACCTCCTCCACCGGCAGCCGTCCCCTCGCGGCCTCCGGCCCCGCTCCCGCCGCCGCTTGGTCCCCGGGGCCGCTCTCCCGGGCCGGTTCGGCTGCCGCCGGCTCCCGGGGCCGCTCCCCCTCTGCTCCCCGCAGCCTCACGAAGATGGAGAGTAGGGTGAGGGCCAGGACGGTGAAGAGCAGCCGGACGGCCAGGTACAAGTCCACGGCCGCGTCCGTCCCGCCCTGCTGCTGGAGCCCACCCGTATTACAAGCCATTGCCATAAAGCACAGTGAGACAAGAACCTTAGCCCAGGCCCCACACTTGACAAACACTATCACAGCAAACACCGGCTCTACGTAAGTTACAACGGTCTGAAGCTGTGAGATCAAGAAGAACAACTCTGATACCCAATAAATCAGCATTGTGACGAATGACTATTAATCCAGTCAGATCTGTAGTTATCTCAACCCTTCGTGCCCCACGTTGGGCGCCAAAAAGAACTGTCGTGGTTTAAACCCAGTCAGGTAATTCGTTCGCTCACTTCCCCCCCTTTCTTGCCCTCCCCCTGCTCTCGGAGGGATGGAGAGGAGAATCGAAAAGAATGCAACTCCCACGGGTTGAGATAAGAACAGTTTAGTAACTAAGGTATAACACAGATCACTACTGCTACCACCAATGATAATAATGATAAAGGAAATAACAAGGGAAGAGAATACAACACCTCAGCACCAGCTGACCGATAACTCGGCCCCCAAGCCCGACCAAGCTCCGACCGATACCTCCTCCAACCCTGCAGTCTCCCAGCCCTTCCGGCTCACTCCCAGTTCCATCCTGGGCATGACGTGCTGTGGTATGGAATACCTCTTTGGTCAGTTTGGGTCAGGTGTCCTGTCTCTGCTTCCTCCCAGCTTCCCCTCCTCCCTGGCAGAGCATGAGGCTCACAAAGTCCTTGGCCAAACCAAAACATCTCTATCAGCTCTGTTCCCGAGCCGAAAGTCAAAACACTGCACTGCACAAGCTACCAAGGAGGAGAAACATGACTGCTACTGCTGAACCCAGGACAGATGCTCAGTGATGTAGCTGCAGACAGAGGCTAGCCACAGTCTGAGGGACATGAGCCCTCTTCTCTGGCTGAGGGCATTTGGTTTGGCCTGGATGGTCAGGTACCAAAGGCTGATGGGTTGCCCTCTTCCTTCCCAAGGACATAACCAACTCAATGAGCAACAGCACTGCTACCAGCAAACCTCCAGTGACACTGAGACTGGTTGTGCCAGCTAGTCAGTGCGGTTCACTGATCGGCAAAGGAGGCTCCAAGATCAAGGAAATCAGGGAGGTAAGTCAGACTGGATATCATTGCATGTAATCACCGAGCTGATCCATGACCAAGGCGGATCAGCCTGGGAAACCAGCATCCTTATTCTGCTAGCATCATGCATTGCTTCCCAGGATGCGATGCAGAGAGGATGCAGAGATGATGCAGGAGCAGCATCCCATGGGACATCGCCGCTGTGCTCCTGCTGATGCAGGAGTTTGTGCGGCACTGGAGCTGGCTTGCAAGGGAAAAGCATTCAGCTGTGGGATTTCTCCTCCTGTCTCTTTCTGTCTCCAGTCCACAGGTGCTCAGGTTCAAGTGGCGGGGGACATGCTGCCCAACTCCACGGAGCGGGCGGTGACAATCTCGGGGACACCCGACGCTATAATCCAGTGTGTCAAACAGATCTGTGTGGTGATGCTGGAGGTACAGTCTGTAACCAAGGGGGTAAAGTACCTAGGAACACAAAAACCACCCCAGCCGGCACCACCAGGAGCGCTGGGAGCTGTGGAGCGTGTGTCCTACCCTTCACCACGCGTTGTCAGACCACTCTCATTGCCTGGTACCTCCGTTTGACACCCAGTGTGTTTTCCCCCACCATTGTCTATTGTTTCTAGAGGCCCGCACTGGAAACCTGCTCAGTTGGGTGTCCTGAAGGAGATGGTTTGTGTTGTAGCACAGGAGAGATGGGTGCCAGAGGAGGCCAAGGCAGTGGGAAGGGGATGAGGGCTGCAGTTACTCCACCAAGCACCCAGCCTCCTCTGCGTAGGGCTCATGGTGCCCCATGAGGACCATGGCTTGGAGGAGGAGGAAGCCAGTGCATCCTCATCACTGGGGAGCTGGAAGTATAAAGCTGGGCTCCAGTAAGGCACAGCAGAAGTAGTGAGTAAGACTGGTAGAGAGCAGGGTCTGTCGGGCACATAGATGTGTGCCCAGGGTGGTGTTCTCTGATGAGCACACCTTAGAGATCTCTGCCATGGAGAGATGCTGCTGTACCAATGGCTTATTGTTGAGGATGACCGCAGCCGTATGCCCTGTGTCCACACCTCAGATGGGAGAAGCTCCAGGAGGAAGCCCTTTGGGACACAGGACGGTGACATGCTCCACTCCTCTAAAACATAGACTGGACCAGTGTCAGACCCCTCTCCCTTGCTGCCTTCCTTGGCAGGGAGAAGTGCATCTACCACTGCAAAAGCTCCAGATGAGGATGGCAAAGCTTGGTAGAGATGAAGCAAACCCAAACGTGAGCTGTTTCAGTTTGGCAGCAGAAAGCTAAGGGGAAGATGCCACAAGCATCCACTCCTCCATCCACCACTGCTGGTAGTGATGCTCAGGCAGGGGAGTGCAGTTGTAGCTGCACAGGGACTCCAGGTTATGCGCTGGAATGTAGCAGAGGTGATGCTTGCAGGTGTGTTATCAAGTGCTGCTCTCACTGACAAAAGCAAGGGGCACTGCTGCTCTGTTATGTCTCAGCAATGGGAAAGAGGCAAACACGGAGTTTTCTTGCAGTCTGAAGTGCCCTGAGTTTATCAGCTCACAGAGATGTTCCTTGTAACCTTTCAGGCCTAAATCCTTGCTCAGTCGCACTGGGATTTTTAATGCAATAGCACAACAAGCAGGTTTGTGGTTATGGAGGCAGTGCTTTGGTCGTAGAGCTTTGCTGCAGACCTGTGCTTAGCAGAAAGGTTTGGATGTGCCACTGAGCTACAAGTAGACATCCAGAAGAACCTACAGAGAAAAAAAATGAAGAGTTTTCCATGAGAGAGTAATTTCTATTGCCTGTCCTTCCATAGCAGTATCTGAGTCATTTCACTTCAGGTAGAACCAGGAGGCTTTTGTCTTTTCTCCTGATCCATAGAAACCTCCGTAATATCTCCTATGGCCTCTTCAAGAGGTAACGAACAGAGATGATGTGGGTGAGAAGATCCTGCGCGCTGCACAGCGGAATGCATCACTACAGCTTGATGTGCATCACTACAGCTTCTGCTCCATCCTACACAGGACTGGTCAGGCCACAGCAGTGAGGAGCAAGACGGAGAGGGCCAACCCCACGTCATACTGCCATGGGAAGAGGACTGGGAATGCATATGGGTTGGTGGCTCTGCTGCAGGTGTCTGGCTGCTTACAAGGGCTAGCAAGCTGGTGCAAGCTACTACCATGCAGCTCTGGGATAAAATCTCTGGGCACCCTCACTGCTGTCAGGGGGGTTTCCAACCTCTGGCTCCTCCAGGGCTTGGCACCCTTGCCAAAGTGATCACTGTTGTCCCGCTAGGACCAGCAGTTGGGAGGTCTTGACCACAGTGATTATGCCTTACAGCATCTGCTGCACGACCATCCGTGTCTTGGTTTGGATGGTGATAGACCAAACCAAGTCCTCAAGGTGACCCTGTGAGGAAGATGAGAGGGGTCAAAGAGCTTGAGCATCATGCCACGTCACTCAGAGAGGCTGCTCACTCCTGTTGCCCATGCTCACAAGCCCATCCCACAGCTCCTGGTGCTCAGTGGGGCTGGTGTGACTCCAGGACAAGGCTGTTGACATGCAAGAGCTGCAAAGAAATGCACTGCACACAGGAGGGATTAAAGGCCTGGTCTATGGGTGGACCTCCCCATTTCATAGAACCAGAAGATCATGGAATGGTTTGGATGAAGGGACCTTAAATCTCATCCAGTTCCAACCCCCTTTCATGGTCAGGGACATCTTCCACTAGAGCAGGTTGCTCCAAGTCCTATCCAACCCGAATGCTTGAGGGTCATCTGGGGGTGCTTTGAGGAAGGTGCTGCCTTCCATTGTCAAGCTGGCTTCTAGTTGGCATCAAGCAGAGTGAAGGTGATGGAGGCAGCGGAGGGCTGGGAAGCCATTTAGGTGCCCACATTGTCCTTGTTGTCCATCAACACTCTCTTTCCCCTGTGTCCTCCTGTCCAGAAGCGCGGTGTACCTGGTGCGGGTGTTGCTGTTGGTGGCCCCCGGGGGCCGTGATCCTTTAGGTGCTTTCTAACACTCTCTTTGCCGCCGTTTCAGGAACGCTGGTTCTAATGTTCTCTCTCCCTCTCCTTGTCCCTTTTCCTAGTCCCCACCAAAAGGTGCCACCATTCCCTACCGCCCAAAGCCCGCCTCCACCCCTGTCATTTTTGCAGGTGGTCAGGTAAGAGCCGACCCGCTTGCAGCCTCCACTGCCAACCTCAGCCTTTTACTGCAGCACCAGCCGCTGCCCGTTAGTGCACTCAGGTTTCTTGCCTTCTCACTTGCATGGTGTCATTCCATCCATTGCATGCCATGGCAGCTGGACTGAAAGCTCTCGGTAGAACCAGGTTGATGTCTTGCCTTCTGTAGTAGCTGCTGGAGGATGAAGGGGGCAGAGCAAGGGAGCAGGGTGTTAGCTCCACCAGGCATTCGTGCACCAAGGCTGGAGTTTGCTTCGTTAGACACAAATCCAGTGTTTGCCAGCAGTTGCCACTGTAATAAGAAAAGTCTTGTTGAGTGAGAGGCTGTTATTGTGCTCTCACAGGGACTGCAAGTGTTTATTTTCTGTCATCTCAGTCCAATTAAAAGTCATAGGATCCCGGACTGGTTTGGGTTGGAAGGGACCTTAAAAAGCTCCTCCAGGCAGGGGCACCTTCTGCTAGAGCAGATTGCTCCAAGCCCCTGTGTCCAACTTGGCCTTGAACACTGCCAGGGATGGGGCAGCCACAGCTTCTCTGGGCACCCTGTGCCAGCGCCTCAGCACCCTCATAGGGAAGAACTGCCTGAGAGCTCATCTCAATCTCCCCTGTTCTGGCAGGTTAAAGCCATTCGCCTTGTCCTGTCCCTACAGGCCCTTGTCCAAAGCCCCTCCCCAGGTTTCTTGTAGCCCCTTTAGGTATTGAAAGGCTTCTCCAAGGTCTCCCAGTACCTAAGGGGGCCTCTGCACAAGTTGTTTCCTTTCTCCCCAGCCACAGTAAATAGCAGAAGGACAAACTAAGGATGGGAGCAAAGCCCAAGGCACAGGCTATTTCAGGCAGCATGCTGAATTAGCATCTTAGTCACTGCCAGCATCAGGAGGAGGAATGTGTCGTTCGTTTCTGAGCAGCCCTCCCGGAAAAGAGCTTTGAGTCCAGCTGCTTGGTGAACTTTTCTTCTCAAAAGGGAGAGTAAGGTGGAGGTAGCATTGCTCCTGTGGGCGAAAAGTTGGTGTCTTGCACAGAAGTGATGCCGTGGGATGAAGCAACCATCTCTGAACTGAGAGGTCCCTTGGCTCTGGCAGAGGGCAGCAGGCAACAGTCAGTAGTGCTGTGAGGTGCCTGGGGTGGGTTGGACCTGCAGAAGCAGCTCAGGAGGCTGAGGGATGCAGTGGCAACTACCAAAGGGGTCAGCCCCTTTATCGGCTCCTGAAAGCCAGGGTTAGACAGGCCAGTGCTGTCAGAGTTGAGTTGCATCTGTCCAAGACACCTTCCTGCATCTAATTAGCTGTTTCTAATCAATTTTCCTAATTAATGAACAACTTAGACCTTTGGGAAATACAAGCTTTTATAGCAGCCTCTGATGTATCCCCATGGACGTACTGGTCCCCATCACACTGGGATGCCAGGCACTGGGACCACTATTGCTGTGCATGGGGCTTTGCCTCCTCCCTCCTCATCCTCCTCCAAGATTCGGGGTTTTTTCCCCACACTTTACTGTTTGAGAGCAATGTGGTGAATTTGCAGGAACTTTAGAGGGGTTAGTCCCTCTTCTTGGCTCTCTTTACTCTCCCTTTTCCAAGTGTTATCCATCTCTTTTGCCATTTCTTTGAGAATCACCTGAATGATGCGCCAACCAGTGTGATACGTTTTGCTCACTGGTTAAGTCCTAAATGTTGGGTTCTCTAGGGTCTGGCTCTTCACCCATAGTGATGCTTGTTTTCGGATTCTTTACAACAGAGAGTTACAAAACCCCTGAATAATTTGTCTGGCAGACATCTGCACAGATTTATCAGTTATAGGTGGTGAAAGCCATTGCAGTGCAGGCAGTCCATCCCTGAGCTTGGGAAGATATCAGCACCAGTGGCTTTCTGCATGGCAGTGTCTTTCTCTCCCTAGCAGAGCACTGGAATATACTGGGTAGAGGCAAAGCATGTTAAGAGTTGTGCACTGAAACTATGGATGGACTCGCTGCACTGGCTTGCTTTGTAGGATTGTGGTTAGGTGTGAAGGGTGATGGTAATGTCACTGTGCATCCACTACACAAGATAACTCTTGTTTCATGCATCTCTTTTATGCAGCAAAGTGCAATCACAACCTTATATTCGTGCTCCAGGCTATTCTGTCACCTTTAAAAAGCTCATTCTTTCCTTTTGGAAAAGCCAAACTGAGCTGAAGTCCCTGAAGTTCGGTAGCTTAGCATGCTTCGGGTTTAATTGAACCATAGAATGGTTTGGGTTGGAAAGGACCTTAAGATCATCCAGTTCCAACCCCCCTGCCATGGGCAGGAACACCTCGCACTAAACCATGTCACCCAAGGCTCCAATGTGGACAGGAGATGTGCAACCTGGATTGGAGGTGTACATCTCCCTCCCACCCCAAGGATTCTGCCCCAGGGCATTTAATGTATCACAGGGGTTTCCTCCCCATGGCTAGCCATGGCAAACCTCGTCCTAACCTCAAAATGAAGCTGCTTAAGTCAAGATTCAAGGTCCTACACCCTGCTTTCACTAACAGCAGAGCAAGGGGAGAGGTGTGATGGAGTCTCAGTAGGTCCCAGGCAGAGCAGGATGAGGGCTGAGCTCTTTACCCCCTGCAATCCCAGCTTTTACCCAGTATCAGGAAGAAGGGAGCAAAGTCCAGGGAGAGCCATCTGCAAGGAGACATGGGGTTTTGCACTCAGACCCTGCCAGCCCTGATAACATCTCTCTCTTTTCTCTTGCAGGCCTATACAATTCAGGGACAATATGCTATTCCACACCCGGATGTGAGTTTTACCCTCATTTCTTTTCTTCTACCCTTTCATGCCACCTGCATGCTACTGTGAATTCACAAGATATTAATATTAGACATTAATATTAATAGCGGATTTTCCAAGCTAACTGGCTGTGTGTAGTATCTGTAATACCTTCAATAGCCTTTTAACCTGTTAGCACCAAACGTACTCTGAGGACTTGGCCTGATGCTAAATTGTTTGCATTGTTCAGTGCTACCCCTTTTTATGTTTGGAGAGAAACCATATTCTGTGCATTTTGTGCCTTAAAATGATCAAAACAAGCAAAAAAAAGAAACAACTTTCCCCTCTATTTCCTTCTTGTTCTTAAAATACTGGTAAGACAGGGGCTTATTTAGGTGCTGAGTACTTCGGTGGTGTGGGGAGAAGAGCTCCAGCAACATGTGGTTTCTTGCTTGAAGCCTTGGCAGGGTGATGTGTGGTTTTGGGGGTCCTCCTCTGGGTGACTTGGAAGCAGGGGCTGACATTGGGCAAAATGCTACTGGCATCCCCTGAAGGGGATGGTGATGATGGTACGCACCACACTTCTGGATCTCTCACCTTCCTGATGGCTATGCATCTCCCTTAGGGAGCTGGACCTGGACCAAAGTGTTCCCCCTGGGTTTGATGGCTGTTTTGGGGGGGTTGGCTCACTCTTACATGGGTCAGGGGATCATGGGCACGATCCCCACTTGGTCTCGTGCTCTTTGGTTCTGGGGACAGGCTTCACTCAGGCTTGCAGCACTGATGGGTTTTTGCTGGTGTTCGAATGCCCCAGATGCTGGGGCTGGTCTGGGAGCCACAGCACGTGTAGGGAACATCTGCTGGCACATCTGCATGTAAAAGTACCAACAGCCATAGAAACCAAGTGTAACTGTAAGGACTTCTCTATGAGAAGCAGCAGGGAAGCACTGCAATGTTGGAATCATGTCTGACAACCAAGGGAGCTCTTGGAAAAAGGTGGAATGTTTCTATATGGGTTTCAGAGGGGATAGAATTCCAAGCAAATCCCATTGCAGAGGCTCCTTCATGCTATGAGTCCACGGGCTGAGCACAAAGTGCCATTCTGGGGATGTGGCTCAATTGTAAGTGGTGTGGTGTATGTAGGAAGCCTTCTCCAGCCATCCCACACATGGAAAGAGTATGATATAAGTATTCCTCCTGATGTCTACTTAGGTATTAAATCATGGGATTCCTATTTGCGTGACTGAGAATGGGGCAAGGCTGTTGGATACCATGGATGTGTGATTCCCATGGGAACAGTTAGGAGCTGTAGGCTGGATTTTGATCTTAGGAGCAGTGATTTCACCCAGGTTAGTGCAGGCCAGGCTTTGGCATTCCATGCAACACCAGTGTACATGTGCTTGGAAGAGCCTGCTGTGATAGTTGTTAAGAGATACTCTTAATTGTATGCACTTCACTTCTGCTCCCTACATATAAAGAAATACACTTGCATATGCAGTGAGAGGGGACCAATGTATTCTTTGTCCCAGTTTTCGTTTGCAAGTGGTGCCGACACGGTAGTGTTCTTTATTATATCCCTTGGATTGACAGGGATAAAATACATTAAATCCATTTGCTGGCTGCACTTAACCCAATCCCAGCAGATGGAACCTGGAAAAGGTTGTTCATACAGGGGCCATCCTTACTCTCATAGCACTCTCACAAGGATAGGACGTTTTAAACAGTGCAGAATCTAGTCTTGAACATGGTCTTAGGGAACTGCCCTTGCAGGTGTCTGCTTTTAGAGGATGCCTTTGGCAGCCTCATGACTGCAGAGCGGGCAGAATGTCGAATGCCAAAGCTGAAATGCAAGCTCCTGCCTTGATTTTCTCCCCTCAAAACGACACCTCAGCTGGAGTTTTGGCTCACATACACTGTATGGGTACTCATAAGCTGTTCCGAATGTGATGTGTAGCTACCTGCCTTCATGAAGTCTGTGGTGGGAGGTGAAAGGATGACCGTGGAAGCCTGGAGCCTGGGGAATTTGGGAGTGGAATTAATGTTGAGCACAGGAAAGCTCTCCCTAGCTCAGGCATTGCTCCCAGGTGCGCACCGTTAGCCCATGAGGTGTACCTGGGTATTGCTGTGGGTACCAAGTGATGCTTGGCATGGCTCTGTGTTGCTCCCAGCATTGCTGTCCTGTCCCAGCCTGTTTCCCCCACCAGTGTCTTTGGTCTGTAGAGAAAAACAGAGGCTAAAGAAGTGCTCCCAGGGTTTTGCTTCCAGGTTTTTCCAGGAAAAGGGAGATGTTTTCCGTGCACATGGAGTAGCTTTCGCTTTGACACGTCGGCGTAGCCGTCCCCTCCTCTTGTAGGCTTGTTTATCGCTGTTACTACGTGTGTTTGCTGAATGCCACTGCCCAAACTATGTCTTTGCCAGGCAGAGCTCCTTTGGGTACCTCTCTAACAGGACCTTGCAGGCATTTTCCTCCCCACTGCCTCCCTCCATTCTCTCCCATGTGTGCTCAGCCCCCTGGGTCTCCTCTCTCCAGTGCTTCCCTCTCACTGCTGCTGGCCAGGCCTCCCCACCAGCCATGCTGGAGGAGCAAGGAAGGTTTTGAGCATTGTTTCCCCCCATTGAAATTGTAAGTCCTGCCTCTCGCTTGCTGGGTGCAACAAGCAGTTTATGTCTGCGGGGTGATGGGATCTTCATGATCCTTTGAGCATCCATGATATGGCCAAGTGGGATGTGAGGAAGACTCTGTCCTGCTCACTGCTAGGCTTCAACCTGGTTTGGTTTTGTTTTCTTTTGGTTTATCATTGGTTTTGGTTCTGTTTGGTTTCATTTTTAAATGTGGAGCAGTGGAACAAAGCACAAAATGTATTCCAAACTAACTCTTCTCCATGCAACCACTTCCCATGGGGCATGAAAACCTTACCCAAGCACAAGGGATAAAAGGATCTGTAATACCTACTGGTCATAGCTGAAGCCCCTATTTCCTCATACTGCTCAAGGGCTTCTGCTTGTAATGAGCTGACAGTAAGAGCCACAGATTTTCCATCACCCGGAGGTGTTTCCCCATCAGAAATGATGCTCATGGTGCAGCTCCAGCATCACAAAGAGCATCTGCTGGCTGCTGACACATGCTTGGTAGTGCCTTTGAGATGGCTTCTCTGCTCTAAAGCTACCCTGAAGCGAGCAGCAGCATAGGTTGTGAAGCCAAAGAGGGGAAGGCTGGTACCGTACTTCAGACCCTGACCAAGCACTTCTGCAACAGATTTGGGCTCTATTGCGTTCATACGCAGGCCAAGTCCTTCTGCTAATGTTTCTGCCATGCCTCACCATGGCTTCCTGGTTTGGATTTTTTTCTGTTTCCTTTCTTTTCTTCCGTTATCATTTGGTTCTTTATTTTCGGTGTGACTTTGTTGTACTCTATGACAATAACCTTCTTAGCTCTAATGTCCCTCCTACCCCTCAGCAGTTGACCAAGCTCCACCAGTTGGCTATGCAGCAAACCCCCTTTACTCCCCTTGGACAGACCACCCCCGCTTTCCCTGGTACGTACCCACAGCCCTTTCTAGATATCCTTCTCTTCTTACCTGTAGAGTTTTCTCTCTCTTTCTAAACTCATGCTATTTAATGGAAGCAAGCAGGGGAAGTAAGGCTTGGAAGTTGCAATGTCCACGGGGAAAGGTTAACAGGGAGACTAGATGGATGCTTGGGGGTTATGGTCCTCATGGGTGAGCTGTTTCAACTGTGCATGCCTGGAATCCTCCACGCTTGCCTTGCTCCCAGCTTTGCTGGCTTCCCCAGCAGAAGCAATGAGCACCAGGCTCCCATCCTTCCCATTCCAGAGGAGGCAGCATCCCTGGCTGTGCGCAGATCCCTGCTTTCACATGGAGAACAGCTCAGTGCTGGCTGGGGATGCTGCCCCAGTGTCTATGGGGAGCAGCGCCCAGTGGGGCAGATGCAGCCCCACAGCAGGGACAGCAATGGGAAGGATCCGTGGCCATAGGGAGCCGCAGTGACAGGAGGACCACCAGTCCTGGTGTGGCTCAGCAGCTTCATTCCCAAAGCTGGTGACCTGGGAAGTGCAGGGGATGGAGATAAAGCACCTTTGTTTGCTCGGTGGTCAAAGTGCTGGTTGGAAATGCCTTTTCTGACAGTATGTTCATCATATTTTGAGCTTCCTAGATGAAGTGACATTGCTTATCTCCTTGAAGGCAAAAAGCATTAAACCTCTTTCTTCTTTGCTCTTCAGGAGAAAAGCTGCCCTTACATTCCTCCGAAGAAGCTCAAAATCTGATGGGCCAATCATCAGGTAAAAAACCCACAAAGCTACAGGGAAATCAGCAGGCTTCTGTTGGAATATGGGGTTTCTTGAATAGGACTGTGCCGTTGTTGTGCTCCTGGATAAGCTGTGGTGGTTGTGGAGGAGATGATAGGGTTTCTTGGTGGGCAGGGAGAGAATGGGCAATGCCGTGCCTGGCAATGTCCAAGGAAAAAAGTGTATTGCCTACGTGGTTTGATGTTTGCATAGAGCTGCCATCTGTGTAATGGAGAAACATCAGAGTGAGCCCTCTCTCATTGAATTCTGCATAAACTGTGCTCAAAAGCAGTAGAAAGATGCCTGTGGGGACACAAATGACATACAGTTTTAGCCATCTCTAAGCCATTCAGGGCGAGCTGCATTGTTAGAGACCCTGAGGAGAGATGCTGATGTCAGATGTCCCACACATCCACCCATATATGCCAAGTGTTCTTGTCTTTTATAACCTACATAGCTTAGAGAAGCCTCAAACCAGTGTGGGGACATCACCTAACCAAGAGAGCAAACATAGCCCAGTAGGCCCTACAGCTTCTACAGTTGTCCTGATACCAACCTGCCCAGCCTAGTTTTCTGCATGCTCTGCTTTGCCCTTTGCAATCACCCAAGGCACTTATCCTGACCTGACACATTAAAGCCATGGGGGTGGCATGTGTATATCAGACAGGGAGGACCTCTAAGCTAAAATAAGCAGTCTCTGGGTAATGGTGAAGGACTGACCATTCCCCAGTGGCCTTTGTGGTGCAGTACAATGGCACTGTGTGCCCCAATGGCTTCCAGCATCTTCGGTGACATCCAAGAGCAGGGCAGGGGATGCTATCTATGAGCATTAGATATTAGATAGCATTAGATATGCTATCTATGATGCGCTTCCATCATCATAGGTGATAGATGGGTGCCTCAGCACTGCCCTGCATGCATCCCTAGTGCTCTGCTCCCTTCAGAAGATGTTTTCTGCCATACCCAGGCTGCTCCTGAGCTGAGCCTCATAATGCATGGCTGAGAGGCAGGGACACCCTAAGAGACATGGCTTGGTGTTAGGTGCAGTCTGCCTTGCCTCTGTGAGGAGGCTTGGTGTGAAAGACAGGTCCAGGGCTGGTGGGATGTCCCTTCCAGTGCAGTGTGCTATATAAAGTCAGCACTAAGTATTGCCTGCTGTATAAAACCTGGGCAGGAGCTGGTTTGTGCAGGCTTTGGCATTGGTAGAAGGAGAGCATAGGGCTGTTGAATGGAGGATTTGCATCCCCATCCACTGCGTTTCCTCTTCTCTGTGTGGTTCCCAAATGGAACACATGGTAGCGACATCCAGCAAGCCAATGCCTGGCACCTCTGGGAAGCTGCACTGGGGAATCATGCATGAGCCCATCACTGTTCTCTCTGGGGGTGATGCTGAAATGGGATTGCCACATAAAGCTTTGTTTCAGTGTTTCAGATCTGGTTTGACCACACTGGTACCCAGGCAGACATCAATTCACACTGCTGCTGGGTAAAACTTGGCCACTGCTTGCAGTAGCTGCTCAGCACAATTAAGGCAATGACATATTGCCATGAGGCATGAGGAATCCGTGTGGCTGCTCTCTTATGTTGTAGTAGTCCAACACTTCCAGTCTCCTTGTGCTTCTTTACACTTCCTTCTTCCCTTTTTCCTTGGATACAGACATTACAGTCTCTCATCCTCTCGCACACACTGCTCTTAAAGTAGTTTATATCATATGGATAAGGGGGTTTGTGCAGTTACTGTAAGTTCCTGTTAGCCACCAGACAGCTTCTCTCTTGCAGATCTGATGTAGGACATCCTTACTTCAACACTGAGGTGATTTGACATGGAAACCTGTGGGAGAGGCAGGCTTCGACCTAGGAATGTTACGGCGTGCTCTACTCTTCCCTCTGGATGTAGACTGCTGGCTCCAGCCTTTCCCACTGGAGAAGGAACCCTCCAGGAGAGGCTGCGAGGAAGCATATTATTGCTTTAGCTCATTTGCCATGTGATTCCGTAGGGAAGCACATCTCCATTCTGTTTGCCTTTCTTACCCTTGGAGTCAGAGGGACCACTGGTCCTGGGTCCAGCTAGCACGTGTGTCTTAGCAGTCAGGCTTCAATTCAGTGTGAGAGTCTATGGGGCTTTAACTTGCAAAAGAGCCCCATAGCCCTGTGCTAGCACTGCTGGATCCCCTGCTTTCAGGGTGCTTCTGATGTAACCAAGCAGCTCTGTGCTGCTGTGTTAGAAGGTGTGTGGACAACACTCCATCCCTGAGGGGTGCAGGGGAAGATGGCAGCCAGCTCCAGCAGAGTCAGGTAGCAACTGTCTTCCCTCTCCTTGTTCCGGAGTGTGTGATCCCTTTCCCCTTCCCATTCCCGGAGCAGGATGCAGCCTTTGCAGTGTTGCCTGTTGTGGGAAAGCAGCGGAGCTCCACCGTGCGCTGCCTTGCAAGCTGTAACCATTTTCCCCTTGCATATGCCCAGGTTTGGATGCCAGTCCCCCGGCCAGTACTCATGAACTCACCATTCCCAATGATGTAAGTAAATCCAAGTGTGTGTGTATACACATATATATGTGTGTGTAAATACATAGATAGAAGCTGCAGGCACATTCAATAGGTTTAGAGGTGCCCCTTCACCAGGTTCACTCATACCATGTGCAGTCTGTTGGGGATCAGCCTGCAGCATGAAGTGCCCATTAGATTTTACCCCATTGGTAGATTTCCAAGGTACAGTCCTTCTTCATGCTCCTTTTCCCTTTCCTGGGCTCATGAAACATGCCCAGTTGACAACACTGGGAAGGGGATGAGAGGTTCTGAACCAGCCCTGATTAAACTAGAGCTCCTTAACCTATCACTGGCAGGCCTGAGATGCTGTTTTGGTTCAAGCACAGTTACCAGGGGCAGGAGAGGTGAAGAGAAGGTAAGTAAATAGTGTGTCTGGTACCACCAAATGCCACACAAGTGTCTGAAGGACACTGAAACACATCTGAGTACTGATGGCAGACAGCTTTTGGGTCTTGTAGACAGAAGCATTGTGGTAAAGTGGATGTTGGACTGGGATATTTGCTGGGAGGAGACTGGAGTCAGTGCCAGGATGGTGCTTGAGGATGCTCAGGTGGGATGGAGAGCCCAGCGCAGCTGGAAGCTGGATGCATGGGTCTCATTTGCTTCTGGACTGGCCCACACTGGTTGATAACCAGCCTGCACTCAAATCAGGATCATGGGAAGCAGGGGCACGACTTCCATTCTCAGTCCCCATCTTCATCACCTACAAGCACCTTCAGCCTCACCAGGAGTTTCTGATGGGGTCTGGCTGCTATTGCTACTTCTTCCTGCTGTTGGCCATCACGTGGCAGAACAAAGTGACTGCCAGCACCTCTGCTTCCACCCAAGAGACATGGCTCATCCTGGCTCTGCTTCTGTCCGTGTAGCAAGGCTTCAAGAAGCTCTGCAACCAGTTGCAACAGCCACATCTGTTGTGTGGGTTGAGCATGGGGAACCGTAACCTTGGCAACAATGGGAGCATCTTCAGGAATAGTGAGTAACCCTTTGCAGAAGGGCCCACGTGGGAAGAAAGGATGCTTGGGGCGTTCCCACAGGATCCAGGAGCATTTGCCCACCACAAGCCCAGCTTTCATCAGACGTGCACAGCATGAAATATCATCACCTGCACCTTCCTGCCTTCAGCAACATGCCTCCTTAGCTCTGCCTCCTGTTTTGAAGGCTTTGAAACACTCCCTGCCAGAGGAGAGGTTTTGTTTCTTAAAGCAAAGGGTCTATAGGCATATTCTAGTGGTTTAGATGAGCTTGGGGTTACGCTCGAGGAAATGGGATGACATACATCTCATTGCTCTTCTGACAGGAGAAACTCGAGTGCTGCTCAGCTTGGATGTTCTAGTTTGGCTCCTCAGATCTCCCCAGCAGGTCTGATCTCATCTGCTGCAGCATCTCTGAGTCATTTCTGTGCTATGAATACCAGGATGGGTGGCTGGTGGGCTGGACACCCCACTGAGATACTTGATATATTGTCTTAGCCCTGCACTGGGTTGTATATTCAGGCCCATATGGGACAAACCACTAAGGCAGCCCCATGGTCTGGCAAAAGGATGTGAACATTTGGAAGAGTAGTTGTCTGCACTTCTACAGTGACAGGAATCCAACAGCTGCCAAGGTGAACATCCCACATATCGGACAAGAGCTCAAATGCTGATGGCCAAGAAGGGCGTGAAGAAACACCTTGTGCCTGTGTTGGCAAAGCTGGACATCTCACTATATGTTACCAGGCTGCAGGTGTGCTTGAGAGAACCATATTTGGTGCCCGAATGACCAAGAGCAAAGACTGAGGGAGTTGAATCCATTGAGGACCACTGGGACAATTCAAGAGGTGGGCAACTGAGGAAATTCAAGCCTCTGATCTCTTCACAAGCGTGTTTTAAGATGGTTTTAAGTAGGATTCTCCTGCTGGTGCCACAGCCACATTGTGCTCTCCTGTACATGCCAGCAAGCCCTTGCACTGGATTAAAGGCGATCAAGGGGGTAACAGAGGCAGCGAGGGTGTCCCAAGTGGGGTAGAAGAAGTGTGGGATGGTGTGAGCAATGTGAAGCTATGGATGGTGCACCTGCTCCTGGGGTTGGGCTGTCCCTGGGGAAAGGTGGTGGGCTTGATGAATAGAATCCTAGAATGGTTTGGGTTGGAAAGGACCTTAAGATCATACGGTTCCAACCCCCTGCTATGGGCAGGGACACCTTCCACCTCTTCTAGTATATCCTCTATAACCACCTTTACAAGGGGGGTAACTGGAGTTATCCCCTTCAGAATTTCTGAGTTTCCCAGTCAGAGCCACGACTTATCCCATCCTTGCAAAACATTGGACAGTTATTAGACCATGCAAGTGATGGTCTATGCAAGCATTAGACCAAAATGAGCCCAGTGTAACCCTTCAGTGATGCTGGTTACCATGTGCAGACAACTGCTATTTGCCCCCTAGAGCAGAGCAGAGCAGATTGCTAGATGGGTCCTGGGAGGACCGTGCTTATGTGCAGGTGGAATTCACCCCTCTCCTGTTTGCATGGGCGTTAAGGTCACAGAGGGAGGAAGGCTCTTGGCTGGTGCCTGCCCGAGCTTCTCAGCCCTTCCCCTCCGTGCTTTCTTTCTAGCTAATAGGCTGCATCATCGGACGCCAAGGGACCAAAATCAATGAGATTCGGCAGATGTCGGGAGCGCAGATCAAAATCGCCAACGCCACGGAAGGCTCATCGGAGCGCCAAATCACCATCACAGGGACCCCTGCAAACATCAGCCTCGCGCAGTACCTCATCAACGCCAGGTGAGACCCCCTCCAAGCGCCAAACCCATTCCCGACAGCGTGGTCGGGAACACGGAAGGGCTTCCTGAGGCCAGCTGGGATGAAGGGTGGCTTCTGAGCGGGGACCGGATGGCACCAGCAGGACCTCTCCCCCCAGCCAAGCCTTTGGCTGAGGACCCGGCACTCCTCCTCGCTCAAGGATTTATGCTTATGGGTGGCCAAAATCACCGCCGTCTTCTCCCCTGTGGATGAGGCAGAGGATGGGGATGGGGCTGGAGCTGAGACAAGTGGTGGGGAGGCGTCGCCTGGGACCTGCTCGCTGGGATCCCAGCATCTCTTAACTGCCACCTCTTCTGCCGTGCTTCCAGGCATCCCAAAGGCTTTTCCTCCATCCACTGAATATAATCAGTCCAATAAATGCAAGACATGGGAACTGCCCGATTGCTTCCTTTTCGTGCTCAAAAGCTTGGTCGAGCAGGACTTTGTGGAGGCCAAGGGTTCCCAGTGCTGCGTCTGGCTGGGGTGGGATGGTGCCTGTGCCTTTGGGGGCCAGGGATCCTGCAGGAGACTATAGGGGAGACGTAACTGGAGAGAGGGGGTGGGGACCAGCTCCATGATGGACCTGGTTGTGTGCTTTTGTGGACTTGTGGATGAGGAACTTAAGGGGAGAAGAATCCATCTGCCCATCCATGCTCTTGTGGTGGGCAGAGCTGGTGGTGTGACAACCTGCCTCCAGCCAAGACGTGTGCGAGGATATGGGGGGCTGTTGGTGGCGACTCTGACGTTCATGATGGTATGGGCTGCAAGCAGCAGCGAGATCTGTATGTGCTTTCTCCTCCTTTGCACCCAACCCACCTCAGCCCCCAACCTGCAACAGACCTCCACCATCTCCTCCTGCCCTGCTGTCCCGCTGCCCCCATCCATGGCACCCCTCCAGCCACTCAGGAGAGGGATGGAGGGCATGGCCAAGTGGCTTTCCCTGCAGCTCCTTGATATTCCCCCCTTCCTCTTGAAACAAGAGAGAGCAAGAAAAGAAAACTGAGCTGCTCTTGGTTACTGGGGAGGGCTGAGATTAGAGCTTTGAGGGAGCAGGATGAGGCATCATCAGCCTCTCCCATCACTTTAAACCTGAAGAAGCCAGGGATGCAGGCACAGCCGCCTGTCCTCAGCAGGACGGACGCTGATACAAATGAATCTGTGTGCTGGGATGTCACCTGCCAGCACTTCTGGTGGGTTGCACCTCTATCACAGGCAGCACTGAGGAGAAGAGAAAGGCTCTATGCTCCCCCCCTCCATGGGGACCCCCAATGCACTCAACCCCCCCGGTCTGAGCTGGGTATAAGCAAGAGGAGCAGCACTGCCCCACAGGGTCTTCGTTTTCTTTTCTGCCTCCGTTATTAAGCGCCTGTTTTTGTCTCCCCCCCACCCCTCTCTCTGCCCCTGTCTATTCTAGGCTGACGTCTGAGGTCACTGGAATGGGCGCACTCTAATTTCCACCCACCATCCTCCACTCCGCACCACCCGACCCTCTCCAGCCACCGACACCCAGCCTGTACTGCCTGTACATTTACCCCTTTGCCTCCACACGTGCTCTTTTCTTTACTAACGACTCTAAACAGACGTCTCATTACACATATGCACACAACGGGAAGGTTTCTTTACGAGCTCCTTACTGTGCTCCCGAGGCTGCTCCCAAACTCTTTGGTTATGGTCCTTGTTTGCAGCGTACGATGTTATTGCTTCAGCTGCTTTGATTTTTTTTTTTTTTTGGGGGGGGGGGGGAATAGGGGTTTTCTTCCTGCTGGTGAGACTTCAGGAGATGATGGGGTCTCTAGTGTCAATCTAGCATAGTAGCTACTTACACATTTGAGTTGATGTTGGCGGTGCTTGCTGTAGCCTATGGACCTGTGACGCCACCCAGAGCTGTGCGTGCTTCAGAGTACTTACTTCTTCTCACCATTCTTCCTTTGATGCTCCCTCTTCATTTGCTTTGCTTGTCCTGGCTCACCTTTGCCACCTTGCATCCCTGCCCTCAGGGTAAGGTGTGGTTTTCCCCCTCTGGGATGCAGAGCACGGATGCAGGAGCCAAGGCAATGCACAACCCACAGTGCAACATGGCAGGGTCCAGACAAGCCGTTTTTCCTACTAAATGAAGGGGATCACACCCACCCCTCCACAGAATGATCCTCTTTTTTAACTAACAAAGCAACTGGAAGTGGGAAGAACTCAGCCGTCCAGGATTCACACCCCCAGGGGCATTTGAAAGCACTCTTTTAACAACCCCCATAGAGCAACCCCCTTGGACGATAGCTCAGGAAGCTCTGTAAGCTGGCTGTGTTTGTCATTTGTGTTCAATAAATGTCTGTGCAGCTCTGCTACTGATGGGCTCCGACTGTTCTTCTCCTGGATCACCCTGCCATCTCCAGCCCTATCCTTTCCTCTGCATCTTTCCGCACCTCAAAATATCATCATCATAGAATGGTTTGGGTTGGAAGGGACCTTAAAGCTCAACCAGTTCCAACCCCACAGCCACAGGCAAGGACACCTTCCACTGGAGCAGGTTGCTCCAAGTCCGTGTCCAACCTGGCCTTGAACACTGCTGGTGTACTTAGAGTACAACAATAAGCATCTCTCAATGCTCCATTGTCTGGACAGATCTGCCATGTCTGTGCCCCATATCCTTCCCCAAGACCTTCCGTGCCCGGTCCTGCCTTCTGCTTCCAGGATTTACTTATCCTTCCTTCCTCTCAAACACGTATATTTCCCAGCTGTTTGTTTCCCATTGTACAAAATGTGTGGTGCATGGGTTTATCCTGTGTTGCAAATGAGGGGATCAGGACGCATCATGTACCCAGGCAGCTAAAGCAGCCACACGATGCATTGTTGCACTGTACCACATGGGCAGTGTATTGCTTTTTCCAGCTGAGCCCCAAGACTTCGTGGCCTTTCCTTCTCTTCCTTCCTGCCCAGCACTGCCAAGGCCACCACTAACCCGTGGCACTGAGGCCTCGTCTCCATGGTGTATGAACACTTGCAGGGATGGTGACTCCAGCCCTGCCCTGGGCAGCCTGTTCCAATGCCTGAGCACCCTGTGGGGAAGGAATTGTTCCTCAGATCCATCTAAACCTCCCCTGGTGCAGCTTGGGGCCGTTTCCTCTTGTCCCATCCCTTGTTCCTTGGGAGCAGAGACTGACCCCACCTCACTACAATCTCCTTTCAGTTGTAGGGAGCATGAGGCTGTATGCCAGAGCACAAGTAGATCTTACAGGTGGTGGAGGCACGTGGTAACCAAGATCTTCCAGTGTCTGAAGGGGGCTACAAGGATGCAGAGAGGGACTCTTCATCAGGGACTGTAGTGACAGGACAAGGGGCGATGGGTTCAAACTGAAACAGGAAGCTCAGGTTGGAGATAAGGCAGAAGCTCTTCCCTGTGAGGGTGCTGAGGCACTGGCACAGGGTGCCCAGAGAAGCTGTGGCTGCCCCATCCCTGGCAGTGTTCAAGGCCAGGTTGGACACAGGGGCTTGGAGCACCCTGCTCTAGTGGAAGGTGTCCCTGTCTGTGGCAGGGGTTGGAACTGGATGAGCTTTAAGGTGTCTTCCAACACAAACCATTCCTTGATTCTAAGATGTGTGTGAGAAAGAGGTGTTTAAACAACTGCAGTATCTCTTGGGAACATGTTGATGACAACGACGATAACAAAATCCCAAGGAATGTATCAAACTGGGCTTTGATTTCTTTGGAATGTCTTAGAAGATTTGCTGTTTTATTTGGAAGGAGGCCTCTGCGTTTCGCTTTTACTTGTGCTACATCTTGGATTTGCATTTGGATGGACTTAATTCTCCAGGGATGCATCCATAGCCATGCCACTGGGAAAAACATATGCCCATCTCTAATATCCAATACAAGGTGAACATCCCAGTTGATCAACAGAACAGCTTGAATGCATGGCTTTTCCCTCTCAAAGTGACGCATTTAATCCAGATGGAATGATTCAATATTCCTGGAAGGAACCAACTCAGTATTACTCAGTTCAAACACTTTGGGAATCCGTTCTTTTGTGGGAAATGGTTACTTTGGCAGGAAAACATTGGTCTGATGCTTCCCCTGACCCATGGAACGTAGTAGATTTCCATCAGAGAGGGGCCAGCTGAGGTCCTTGCTCAGCCCCTTGGGCCTCAGATGAAGGTCTCCACTCCCCCTCATGTCCTTCCCAGGTCACGCTCCCAAAATCCAGTGTTTGGTCTATTGTTATGTGCATTTTTTCCTCTAGATCCTATTTGCAAATCTAATACATGATGGAGTTGAAAAACAAAGAGATTTTTTCCCCTAAGGGTGACTTTAACCAGGGACTCTCTTTAAATTCCATAGACTTTTGAGTTGTAATTCAGGTTTTTTACCCATGTATTCATGCTAGTCATTTTGAATTATGCTAATTTCAAGCTTATGGTCCATTAGCAAGGGTAATTTCACCCCTCCAGTGCTGGCAGAGGAAGGGTTTCTGGGGGATGTCTCTGTGCTGTGGATGGGATGAATCCAGAGCCTCATTTCATCCTTGGCCACAGGGGTGGAAGAATGGCAGGGGCTCGGGCAAACCCTTTCTGACCCCTTTGTAATGCCGGGTCTATGAGAGCCCAGCAGCCCATGTGCCCCGACCTAGCCCGGCTGCAGCCCCCAGCCTCAGGGAGGTCACTAGGTGTCCCCATTGACCAGGTTTTTGCGTGCATCGTGCTCCAGCCGCGATGTTGGCAGCGGTTGGGTGTCACAGAACCAGAATCAAGGAGGTGGGAAGAGATCTTTAAGGTCATCCAGTCCACCCTTTACTCCAGCACTACCAATGCCGCCACTAACCTATGGCACTGAGGACATCATCCTCTGCTGCATCCGCTTGCAGAAGAAAGAGTCAGAGAATGGTTTGGGTTGGAAGGGACCTTGAACACTGCCAGGGATGGGGCAGCCACAGTTTCTCTGGGCACCCTGTGCCAGTGCCTCAGCACCCTCACAGGGAAGAGCTTCTGCCTAAGAGCTCATCTCAGTCTTTCCTGTTCTGGCAGGTTAAAGCCATTCCCCTTGTCCTGTCCCTACAGGCCCTTGTCCAAAGCCCTTCTCCCATGTTTCCTGTAGCCCCTTTAGGCACTGGAGCTGCTCCAAGGTCTCCCCTTAAGGAGCCTTCTCTTCTCCAGGCTGACCCACCCCAGCTGTCTCAGCCTGGCTCCAGAGCAGAGCTGCTCTAGCCCTTGCAGCAGCTCCATGGCATCTTTCCAATAGCTCCACATCCCTCTTGTGCTGTTGCCCCCAGACCTGGATAAAGGACTTCACAAAAAGGGTCCCATCAGTGCTGGGACCTTCATGGGGACACCCCAGCCCACCTGGGTAAGCATGCATGGCTACCAGCTCTCTTGGCCATGGGTGTCCCCATGCTCTCCACTTGTACCGGTAGCAGCATGGGATGAGGTTGGCAGCACGAGACCCATTGATCTCACTGCCCGTGGCAGGGGATTGGAACTGCATGGTCTTCAGGTCCTTTCCAACCCAAAACATTCTATGATTCTATGCCTCAGCTCTTGGTAGGAGCGACTGCAGCTCAGGGTGGAATGACTTGCAGAAAGGTGATGGCATCCATGTGATTCCCCTGCTCCCATGTTGGATACTGTAAGGAGCTGGGGTTCTGCTGGGAAGGCTAATTTTTGCTTTCCCTTCAGAAAGAGAAGGAAATCCAGCTGCAGATCCTAATCCTCTGTGCTCTGTGTCGAGCCCCAGGCCTCCATCCAAAGGGTAACGTGGCAGTCAGTGACTTTGAGGAAGTACTGAATGTACCAGATGTGCAACTCCTTTGACTCCAGATGTGAAGCCCCCCCCCCCTTTCCCACTCAGCCTCAGCACAGTTGTCCTGCAAAGAGGAACAGGAGACACCAGGTCACTCGGAAAGCATCCCACAGACTAAACCCAGCCAAGTGCAAACCCAGGCTGGCTCTGGATTCCCAGAGCCCTGCGTAGGCAGCTTAACCACGGGAATGTCGCTTCCCAGCAACAATGCTCTGCACATGGAGAACAGGATGAGAATGGAGCCATGAAGCTCCATTTGTGAGCCCCATTCTCAACAGTGCTGATTTAAAACATGCCTGCTGTTTCTAGAAGGAACTGCTTTGATCCGAAAAGGCAAAGCTGAGATGTGCAAGTATTTGAGGCACTCCTGGACTGCTGGGTTCTGATTCCCTGCAGGCAGCCTTCTCAGTGGCATTAGTTATTCCTGGAGGAAAGCCCGTGCCTAACATCATCTGGACTGAAAAGGGGGCGAGTTATGCTTGAGTCTGGAGCCTCTTTGGGTTTTGATGCTTCAGATGAGGTTCCAGTGTGAGGGATGCTCCCAGGAAGCATGGGCACAATGGCAGCAGACCATTGCCAGGGATGCTGTGGCTGCCCCATCCCTGGCAGTGTTGGACGGGGCTTGGAGCAACCTGCTCTAGTGGAAGGTGTCCCTGCCCATGGCATGCAGTTGGAACTGGATGAGCATTAAGGTCCCTTCCAACCCAAACCATTCCATGGTTCTATGATTATGCACATCCAAAAGCTCTCATTCAGTGCTGCGGGGTTTGGGGTTCATTTGGTGGGATTCTTGAGGAAGGAGCTCCCACCCTTATTGCAATGACCTAACCTGAGGCTACTGCTGCAGCCAGTGCTGGGGTTTTCCCAAGGGAAATTGCTGTGTGCTCTTCTCAAGCAGCTATGCTCCCAAATCTCTTTCAGGAGTGCCTACAAATGGGCAGCTAAAGATGCAGCCCGGACACCCCAGACCAACTGCCTTTAGAACTGCTTTTCAGTCGCATACTGATATGACTTTCCTTGCCTAAAGTTGATTTCCTCTCCAACTATTTCAGGCTGGAATGCAATGAGTTCAAGATGCACAGGATGGTGCAGCGCATCTTGAAGTGCAGATTCAGCCTGTGATGCTTGATCCCCTGTGCTCTGACCGTGGCTCCTTGGCAGCCAGAACATGGGCAGGGCGGGCTTCTTGCTACCCCTTAGTGCAACACCAAGCCCAAATCCTGCTCACAGGCTTCCTACTGTTCACAGACCGAGCTGTACAGTGTTCCCCAGTGCTCTCAGCACCCAATGAATTGTTCACATACCGTGTAGATGAGGCCCTCAGTGCCATGGGTTACTGGTGGCCTTGGCAGTGCTGAGCAGTGGTTGGACCAGATGAGGTCTTTTCCAGCCTGTTTGATCCTATGATTCTATGCATCCCCATAACCAAGGGGTTGGGAGGGGGAAGCAGCAGTGTTGTAGCCTCAGCTGTGCCCTGACCATCTCCCTTGATTGACCTCCTAGCTCTCCAGACCCTGATCCCCATGGGAAGAGCACCTTCACCGCTTGACTGGA